TCAAGTAGAAACACCCGGCCAAAAGGCTCCCCCCCATACTGAGTGTTTACACAGCATCGATTGCACTTTAAAACAAAAACCCACAGAGCAATCCAACATCCTCTGACAGCAGTCACTTACCTCTGTCGCTCTCTCACCAAAGGATTCAGTCTCCTGCTAAACATTATCACTCTCAACAAAGTCGCCTTTCTTATTTTTGTATAATTTTTTTCTTTTTTTTTTTGTCAAGAGATCTAAAAACTGAAAGATGTTGTGATGGCAGGTGAATCGTTGTGATCCAGAAAAGTTTATTTCTTTGTGATGCTATGTGGTTTGTGCCTTGTTCCGAAGTTGCATTTAATATGTCAAAGATTAAAAGTTGACTAGTAATAATATCTAGGGACTGTCATTATGATCACATGCAGTTGTTAATTTGTCTTTTTTTTCCTTATGGTCATGTTGATTTGAAGGGAGAGATCAATGACTTTGGTACTGTTTCCCACCAAGAAAAACATCTTTGCACCAAGATCTTCTTTGTTTTTTACATAAATGTGATTTATTTCCGTAGAGTTGCTTGAAGTCGCTTCTCTTACAGCTCAGAAGTACAATCAAACTTTGACACATGAGGCCTATAAGAGGTTCAAAGATGATCTTCAGTCTGAGATGATTTTTCTAAACCTAAAAGCCCTGTTTGGAAGTCCAGATGAGTCTGGCTGCAGTGTTCTGTGTTCCCTCATGCCATTTAAACGTCACAGAGACTGTTTGTGTTCAGCAGCGTAGCTTTCTTTACACACTTGGCAATCTCTGAGAAGAAATAAAATAACTGTTTTGTCCTCTGCAGTGAGGTCTGCTCCATGTTAATGATGGACACATTTATCTCTGTCTGCGAGCCCAGTTTTTCTGCTGAGGGAGCTGAAGTTGTGAATTTGCAGGAATAATTGCAGAGATGACTTTGGCTGAAGTACGGTTCGTAGGGATGGGTTTCCAGGCTTATTCTTTTATCATCTGCATTGTACCATACTGTTCTCATGTTAATTAGTCTTTTCTTACATGCTAACATATTGTTTTGTTTGAGCAAATTAAATAAAAATTGCAATACAAGACTAGAAATTGTTTCATTTCGTCACTGCAAGTTTTGAGCTTCACTCATTAGAACACCTAAAGTCCTCTCTTGAGCTCCTGTTTTACTAACATCAGCCCACATGTGCTGCTTTTGTTGACTTGTTTAGGCTGTAGGAGCAAAACCCAGAGTTTATTGGTTCTAATTGTTTTGTTTCTTATGAATTCACTTTTTTTTTTTTATGTAAGATGATGCATTTCTGCTTTTTAAGATTTACACAGTTTTACTTTAACAGAATAATCAGCCTTTGAATTCCCTGCAGGACTCTTTTTTTCCTCCCCGCTGTGCCCACATCTGTCATCACACCAGGTCAGCCTGTGTTTCACAGCCCATTACCAGCGACAACATGGCTGACTGCCCCACAGCGGCTCACTTTCATGCTGAGCGCAAAGGAAACAGGAAGAGGGAGACTAACTCAGAATTAGAGCATGAAACTTTTTCTAAGTTTGCATGATGACTTTCTGCAGTTCTTCAGTAAGCTGCTGCTTCTGCTCCTGGGTAAAAAGATGACCGAGGCTTGAACTTACAAGACTGAAAGCTTTGCTAGTTTGGACTTTGGATGTGCTCAGCGAAGAAACATGATACTTGAAGGATACTGTAGTGAAATTCCACTCCAGATTTGGATCCCTCATGTGTTAATTGATTGTGTCGAAGTTTTGTCTTTTTTTTTGCCCACTTTTGGACATTTTTTTTTTCTAGAGAGAAAACCTTTTTTTTATTTTTTGCACTTGCTGAGTGTCCATTTCCAGGTCAACTCTGTTTTATATTCCCTGGGGCTTATGATATATGTTATGACAAAACCAGGGGAACAAACGGTAGAAAGAGAGGAGATGGAAAGCACAAGGAAAGGGTTGAAAGTGTTTCTCTGCAGGTATTTTGGTTAAAATGGTAAGCAGCAGGTGAATGTCTTTAAATTATGCACATTTTAATCTTTTAAAAAACTGAAAACAAAAGCTTTGACTTCATCCATTTGGGTGTGTGGATGTGGCATTGTACATATAGAAATAAATCTCTGTGTTTTATTGTATTCACGTTGTAGAAAACAGATCTCCAGTATCTGACTTCATGTTGATCAAGCAGGAAAGAACCTGTGCCTAAGATTGAAAAAACAAAACCTTGCCTTACTTACACCTTATTGGTTGTAAAAATTTTCTATTGCAGTTTCACCTTCCAACGCATACAGCAACACTTCCTGCAGGCGGAGCATACAGAGTTCTGGCGGTGCATCTGCAGTTCACTTGAGGTTTTGTTTGACTTGCAGCCGTAGAAGGGTTCTCAGAGCTGCAGCGAGACAGGAAAACAGTCTGAGCTGCAGAGAAAAAGACGCGGAAGCTGAGAAAACAGTGATGCTGTCACTTGATTGGGGAGTTTGAATTTTCAAAATCAGTCCTCTTCCTCTTGCTGTATGTCTACGCGGCAGGTGCGAATAATGCATCACCACAGTCAGCTCTTCCATGCAAATGAGACACAGAATGCTGCTGTAACTGACTCGCTACCCAAACTCCATCTTTGGTTCACTTCCCTAAAGCTGTTTGATGCCATTACCCTCAGCTCAAGGTTTATTTTTGCACAGAGAGGCGCTCAATTCAATCAGTGCAATGTATGATAACGATGATAAGTGAATATTACACTTGTTTTGAAGGTCAGACAAACTCTGTGATAAAATCTAGAGTTTCTTAAAAAGGGTTCAGTCCTTTTTTTTTTTTTGCTTAATGGTTTTGAAAGGGCTATGTATGCATTTCTCAAACTGACTGTAATGTTCTTAACGCTGCTGTCACCCAGTTCTTCCTCTTTTGCTTGCAACTGGTCCAGAATGCTGCAGCACATCTTTTAACAGGAGCATGCAGGTGAGAGCACATTTCCCTCCATAATTCCTGTGCATTTTAAGTCTGATTTTAAAAACCCCTCTGTTGAAACTCAGGCTGTTTTTTGTTTTTTATATGCTAGAAAATATTTCATGAGAAAAATAAGCTGAGCATTATCACCCTAAAACTGCAGTGCACCAATGACAGTCTCAAAAACACTGATTTAGAGTTCCAGAGTTTCAAATGTGACAAACATAAGGAACTAACCTTGTCAGCTTGTACCATAGAGCTTTCTTTCTCATTGTTTTTATTCAGAGGCAGTTTTAGGTTCAAACATTACAGTAATACAACTTGCCATTGTGTAGCGTGAGCTGGCGTGCTCAAGCTGCAGCAAGAGAGGAGGGGTGAGTGTAGATGGAGGTTTTATAGATTCATACATTTTAAAAGGAAGCAACAGTAGAGTTACATCTAAGCCACTTTAAAGCAAGATGGGACTATTTTCATGGAGAAAAAAAAAAAACATTGATTGATTTTAGTACAGAGAGATTACTTTTTAAGCCTTTAATCAATAAAGGATTTTTAAGATTTTAGTGTCTGCCAACAAATGATTTAAAGGTCTAGCTCAAGCCTCAGACATCATTGAGGTCAAAAGGTGCAGGTGACCTCAGACCAAGGCCAAAATGGTACCCATGCAAAAGTTTAGAGTTACTTAAATTAGATTAAGCATGACAAATAGATAAGAGGTTCAATTTGGAAAATTTAGTCCCCTTGTCTGTACTTCCTGTTGGTTGGCTGGGCTATGTGTCCCCTCATATCACTGACCAGTTGTTTCTGGTTGTGCCAAGACCAAACAGAAGTATGGAGTAGACCTGTTTCCATACTTTGTCACAAAAGAGAAAGCGAAGGTAGATGTATGATTCCTAGTAATCTATGACAGTGAACTAACATGCACTAACTGACACTGAGTGCAACTATCATTTATACACATCTGCTTTTCCTTAGTGTCAAAAGTCCTCATGGCTTTTAACTCAGAATGAAAGTTTTTCTTCTTGGTGTTTTTGCTTTTATAATTTTGTTGTCTTTTATGGTTTTGCTATTGATTGTACAGCACTTTGAACATAAATTGGACTTTACTGGGCTTGACAAACACTTTTTGGAGGATGTGTATAGGGGCTGTAACCATTTAAACAGTGTAAAGTCCTCTATTGTTAGCTGGTGTGATGGTCTTTGAGAGAATGACACAATATTTAGCAGACAATGTTAAACATAGGGACACAGAATTAATCCAAATGTCTTTTTTTGAGCATTTCATAAATGTTTTAATGAACACTGCATTGCATATAAACACTGTGCAACACAGTTGCAGCCTATGGTATGCAATATTGAAGTGATTTAATGCCAATGCATCTCTCCCCAGAGCTTTACACAGAATGACAAGTGCTGTTGGGAGTTTTGAGGCACCAATTATAGTGACAGCTTCCCCAGAGACATATGAAGCATATGTGTTATGACACTTCTTTTTTTTCTTTTTTCTGTTAAAAAAACATTTGTGCCGTTTTCATAAAATGGAAGAATGGATGGCAACAGACTAAATCGAGCAAATCCAGTTAACTTTAATTCAATTCTACTACAAATATTGTTACTGCAACTAGTTATAACAGGTTGCATTATGAAATATAGTGGGAACTGTAACATATAAATAACAGTAGTAGTAGTAGTAGTAATATTACATTAGTATGAAATATAGTGGCAGTATTTAAAAAAATAAGTTTATGACAGTTTTATTACCATAATATTAATATTAAATACTATGAAATATTGCATAATATTGTCATATTGCTATTACTACTAATGTTACTATATAAATATAATGTGTTTGCGTATCATACTATGGGATGTATGTTTTTGCCAGTTCTCCCATTTTGTCTGACGGTAATTTGACACCAGTAAACAAAGTAGTCGTGACTCCCTCAAAGCCAATCCCAGCTCAGTTAAAATCCACAGACAGCCAATCAGATCTCAGAACCGTTTGAAATGAACGCTGGTCGGACCAATCAGAGGCCTTCGCGCCTTCCTAGTCACTGGTGGGTTTTGGCCGGAGAGGGAGGGAGAACAAGCTCTACGTCAAACGTTAGCAAAGTTCGTTTTAAAATATTATAAAGCTTAATTTATTAATTCCTCGTCTCGCTACGGATATTTTAATCATTTCACCCACTGGATTGTACACACAACTTCAAGGTAAGTGCATCTGCCCGCCAGATACGTTTGTGATACAAAATAGCAAATCGCTTGTCGTTTCTCTTTGTTGAGAATTTGGGGCTTAGCCGAAGCTAACTCAGACTGGCTGTATAACGGGCGATACGGGCTCCGACTAATTTCTGGAATCTTAACTTATTTGTACTGGCCCAAGTGAAAATGCTGTCGGGAGTGTGAAGTTACATATACCTTGGCGAACCTTTTTCGTTATAGCGCAAAGTTTGATTAGAATTGTTAGATAGTTTTGTGGCGTTAGTGACACTCTTGCGGACGGGCTGTTCGCCAACCTTCAGATTAACGCAACGCAACCAGAAATTAGACGGCGCCTGCTTAGTGAAAGACACTCTTTAATCGACTGCAACGCTAACATTAGCCTATTCGGACTGTAGCTGCCTGCGTGCCATATACTTTAATATGTTTTGCTGGAATACTGAGATTGAATTTAGTTTTGTCGAACTTATTCACACATGCATGGGGTTGTTTCTTTGGCGGATGCGTTTGGTTTCTTCGCCAACAGTATTTGAATGCATGACGTTTTCCCTCCTTTCCTTTTTATCGCTTCTAGCTGCATCGGCACTATCTTGAAGCTAACAAAGCTAACGTAAGCCGCATTTCGTTAAAGCAACAGTTCCTGCTTATTACAGCGGAGTTGTGGCATAAATAATACGCTGCTATTCAAGAATCAAGCAGTAAAGCGTCCTCTTTAGCTTTACGGATCCATAAGCAAAACGGTGAATTTACAATGAGTAAAACTGCTTGATATTATTTGTATGCATACCAAATCACATATAATACTGCAGTTAAATGAGAGAAAAGTCCATGCAAAAATGTACAAATGTGGACATTTTAAAGCAGGACGTTGGTTTACATTGATTGTGATATGTGCTTTGCATTGCATATTCTAATATAGAGATCTATGTAAAGTAGAATGCTACTGCATCATACAGAAACATTGATGTGAATAGTAATAGCGGACGTAAAGTTTATGCAGCTGTGGGTTATCTGCGTTGTTTCTCTCTTAGACTGAAGGAGATCAGGTAGATTCGTCCTGCTCATGTGAAGGTTAAATATTCCAGAAATGCAGGAATGTTAACTCAATAAGCTATTACTTCCTCGGTGGGAGTTTACAACTTGATTCACATGTCACATTTCAAAGGGGCTGCATACCAGGTGGAGCTCAACAGCAGTCTCCAGCACAAAGAGGTGGGGTTGGGTGTGGGTGGGGGTCTCTGCCTGACTTCTATTTAAAACTCCACCCATGGTACAGCCGTATCCTTTCATGAGCCAAGCCTGGGATCTAATGGGAAACTCTCATCAGTCAGGATTCAGCCCTGACTTCCACATCCCATATGGAACTCAGCAAGCGAGCCAGGAGAGCAGCGCAGGGACGTACTTTGGGTGTGTCATACTGAGATGGTTTTCCCGCAGATGTTGTGGATTTTTGTGTTTTTAAAGGATTAGATCAGTTTCTGGTGGATTAGGGTCAAACTGAAAACTTTTGACTTTCCTTGGCTGTTAGTAATAATCCTTGTGATTGGACTGGTGGCGCCTTTGTAAATGAGTGGACTTATTTTCTGATTATAAGGCTTACAGGAAATTAATGAGGTATTTGATTTCAAATGTGATTGTACAGCATCAACTCTTGTCAAGTTTAAGAAGAAGTGGTTCTTTGAAAGGTATATGTGATGGTTAATTCAAATTCAGAAGAACAATTTAGGGTCAAAAGCACAACCCGAACAACTAATCCAGACTTCAATGTAGCTACTGTATACTTTGACATTTACTCAAGCAAGGCTCTGTGTTAACCGCTGGAATTTTAATTAGCAAGTCTGGTGACAGGAGGCTGTCATTACAGTATGTGGCTAAAATTGTCATCAGTGGAGCGCTGAAGGCAAAGACCTAAATTTACTTTGCTGAAGCCAAAGCATGTTGTCTTGAACATGGTTAAATCAGCGTTTCCTTCCTTGCAGTAACTTCTATTCTTGCTAAAGTGCTATTTTTACATACTGCAACATGTCCTATGTGTTTTGGGCTTGCAATCGCAAGATGAGATGGAAAAGGAATTTAGAATAACAGAAACATGCACATTTGAGTTGACAGAATTTCTTTTGTTGTTTTTTTATGTCTGCATTGCTGGACTTGAATTGTTGCCAGCTAAAAAATCAATAAAATATCAGTTGTTGGTTTCTGCAGGATTATATATATATATGTCAGACAAACTCAGTGGGTGTCTGTTGTAAAACTGACCAGCTGTTAACACAGTTTTATAAGCCCACTTGAATGTTATGGTTGTTGTCAAAGGGGGTGCCATAATTGACAAACTTGCTAGCTACAACAGCTCAGTTTTCTATCATTTGTAGAGTGGCTGGTGTAAAATGACTTGCCTGGTTGGCTGTAACTTGAATGGAACAACTCTTTCAGACAGACAGCTTTGGGTAAACCTAGCAGGGACAGACCTGTCAGCAGTTCTGCAGTAGTGTGGTGGTTTCCTAGCCACTGAGCCTCCCTGGTCACTAATGTTCCATAATGCTGACCTTGCCTGGCCCACCTCATTGTGTACAGTGGTGCGTCCTGCTGTAGGATTCTGCCATTCTAAAGTGTTCACTAACATAGGTTGTTTGTCCTTCCAAAACATGTTGAAATTGTAAACTAAGAATGTACAAAGGTTGATCAAGTGTGTAAACATAGACACAATATTATTTAGAATATACTAATTCATGTTTGTAATACATCCAAAGCATATCAGCTGAAAGTAATGTGTTACTTTATTGACTTATGTGCCTCTCTTTTTGCCAAGGCAGTTCAAGAGCTGGTTGAAGCCAGTGCCAAATCTCAAATCAGCTGTTTTCATTTCAACAGCCAAAGAACTATCTCTCAGCTAGGAAAACTGGTTATAGAGTGGCACCAACACTTAGTCTGGTCAACAACTAAGAATCATTTGCGTCACAGGCTGAGGTTGGAATTATGAGGACTAACAAGACCAGGCAAGATTTTGTGATTGCTATCTTTAAAAAACAAACAAACAGCTTGTTTGTTAAATCCAAAGATGAAGAACAACCATAGCATCAGCATTGATGTCAAATCAAGGCAACAGTTTGTGGAAAGCCAGTGAAGTCATTTGTCTATATGAATGTTGTTTTTAAACAGCCTTGCAAATTTAAATGCTAGCACATAAAGTTCACAAACACTGACTGCTATTTGCAATGGCGTTTAGAAATGCTGCCTGGTGATTTTAAAATATCAAATGGCAGCAAAAAATAAGACAATTACCTTACGGGCTTTGCAGTAGTGGTAAAGTAGAGGGAGATTCAATAACAAAAGCAGTGTTCAAACAGATGTATACAGCGGCACAATGATGAGACTCGTTCATGGCTTTCTAGCCCATGGAAAAGCAAACTGGTTCTTAGAAAGTTTGCAAGTTGAACCAACTCCGAACCAACACCAGCCCAGAACTGGCATCAGTGCAAAGGGGATTTTAGCAATTCTGAAGCAGGTACTGCTAAATCTCTATCACAGGAAAGTAACAAGGTAGTTGGTGTCAACAATAGCATTTAACTTTTTTTGTTTTGTTTTTAATGAGGATGACCTCAATTTGCTGCACCACCTATCTGCCAAGTTATTTTCACACATCGGGGGAAAGAAATTAAATCGGAAGTACAGATTGAGTTGACTTTCATTTTGGTCCTGTGTATTTCAGGGTTTCGCTTAGGGGGTTTGGTCTGGACTGTGGATGTAGCAGTGTATTATGTTGTCCTACATTAAATTTTAGAGTTAATTATGTTGTTGAGTAAGTGCCTGGGGAATGGCCAGAACAACTCCAGTCTGGTTGGAGTAGCAGAGGGGGAGGTGGTTTTTCTCATCTGTCCGTGTTTCTGTTTTTGCTCAGGAGCATCTCACAGCCCTAAATGAAATCTTCTGTACGTGCTTTCTCTAATCCTTAGCCTTGTGCCTTTTTGAACAGCATTTGCTAAGTACAGTCACATGATAAATTGTGTGTTGGCTGTTTGGTGTATTACTTTGCCCATCAGTTGTTGGTCAGATTATTTGAGTTTGTGATTTTACTTTTTCAATTGGCAATGTTTTTCTCAATCAGAACAGTCAATTGAGATGCGAGTATTTAATGTTGTTCCTGTCCAGCCATAGTGAGTGACAATGAAACCATTGAGATTTTGAGAGATCACTATCCTTGTCATTCAAGTGTTGAAGTTTGAGCTCATGCTGCTCTTCAGTGGCCTGCATGGGGACAGAAAGGGCAGGGTGCAATGACAAGGACCATCATTGTTTCAATTTATGCATCTTCACTCAATTCCAAGTTATGTATGCGCCCACTGCATTGACAGATTAAAAACAAAAAATAAAATAATAATAATAAAAATGACTATTAGGAAAATTGTAACAGGAACATCTACTCTAAAGTGTTTGGATGAAAGTAGAAAATATTTCACAGTGGTTTTCACTTTTAATCCAAAAATGATGATTTAGGAAGGTCTTTGAAAGTCTTGAAAAAAATTATTTTATTTCCTAATTGCTGTGTCTCCATTCTTACTTGTTTGTTTTTCTGCCTTCTCCGGTCTTTCAACTTCATGTGTCTTTGCTCCCCTAAATCTTCTGTCCTCCCTCTTTCACTTTCTATTTAAGTCACTTTCTTTCTTCCGCCCCATACTTGCTTCTGCTCTCAATGGTTATTTCTTGTGTTTCTCTCTTTTTCAGGTCAATGACAATGCCTACTGTAAAGTACCAGAAAGGAGACACGGTGATGGGGCGCTGGCCTGGCAGCAGTCTGTACTATGAAGTCAAGGTGCTGGGCTTTGATGTCCAAAGTCAACGCTACACTGTCATCTACAAGGATGGTACAGAGCTGGAACTGAGGGAGCAAGACATCAAGGTAGACCTTCTTGCAAACTACACTTTACTCTGTCTTCCACAGTTTATGTACACACTTTCTTGACCAGTAACTAGACTTAAGTCATTTTTTCAGTGGTAAGATTAGATCTCGGGCTTTACCGCAATAACGGTAGTGTCAGCTCAAACAAAATGCCATTGGGGATATTAATCGCTAAGCAAAACATTTTTCAAAGAAAGGTTTAGATGTACCTAAAGCTCAAAAAAAGTGGACCAGTATTGTGATTAGGGCTGTCGATGTTAGGTCATAGAATGTGATGTGCATATGGACTCACTCTTTTGTTTTATTGCTGGTTTTTCTTAGCGTGCGGCTGGTTTCCAAACCCGCTCCCGCTCCCGCTCTCGTTCCCAGTCTCCAGGCCGTCGTCGTAGCCGGTCGCGCTCACCTGCAAGGACCACTCGCCGCTCATCTTCTCGTACGGCGGCAGCCGTCGCTGCTGCTGCTATAACAGACAGTGCACCGTCCTCTCGCAGGGATATAAAGCTGAAGGATACATTGGAAGTCAGACTCAGTCCCCTGGTAAGTGCCACAGCTACTTTGTCATTCTCTGTTCATAGCACTAGTGTCCCTGGAGCAGCTGATATGCAGAAAGACAGGCTGATAATAGGATATCGTCAGAACGAGTGTGTCTGTACACAGGTTACGAAGGTAATGATGGGAAATTTCATATTGGAGTTATTGTACCATATATAGAAATTATTTTCTTCAGCAGTGACCTGACCATGTTTATGTAGTTGCAGGGTCAGTTATTGTTTTAAATAGGTGCTATACACAAGCATGACCCTGTTGCCTGCCCAGGAGCCTTGTCAAACTCACCATACATGAAATTTTATGCCAATCAAAATCGTGTAATCAAGTTACCAGGGGGTTTTTCGGACTCAGAATGGACCTTTGTACGACTATGCACAACAGTAAACATTATCTATGTACATTAAAGGCAATGAGTCAGTGTTACCTTATTTGTTAGAAATCTAAGCATTTTCCTGTTTTTTCTGACCTTTTGATTAATGAAAATATCTTATTACACATAATTAAATGAGACTCCAATTAACAAAACAAGTTTAAAAAAAACTGATTTGCTATTTTCAGTCTCAATTCTTGCAGTTCTAGGACTGGTGATTTTAATTTGGTGTTGCACCTACTCACTATCCCCACACCCAAAAAGGGTGTGGGGATAGTGCCAGAAATGTTTCTGTGCAGGAACAACCCTGATGGCAGAAGTGATAGCCTGGAAAATGTGTGGAATTTGCAAAGCAAAATACAGAGGCAGCCAGCCAAGTGTACGCAAAGTCATTTGTGAAAAGGTTGCAGCATTAAGTGGAGCCTAAACTGACTCAGTTTTTGCTTCCTGGAGCTACATTTTGTTGTTAACGTTACAAGGCAACAGTGACAGTTTCTGCCCCAGATTAGCACATTTTATTTGTAGGAGGTGCCTTGAACCTGGTATAAGCAGCTATGTGTTTGATTTCTGCAACACCCCTTAGTCATATAGTCATACTGCAAGAGTCCTAGGCTGATGGGGTAATTTCTTGATTCATTGTGGTTGTGTTGTAAAAGAAGTTCTGTAATTTCCACTCACCACAAGGGTCAGTATTATTGACATCAATCACTGTTCCACAACACCTAGTTATACTTTTTTTTTTTTAAACTTCCCTCACCAGGGAAATGTGATTCATTGCAGTGTGGCACTAAATTCCAGTCTTGATTTCATGTGTTGAAGATCATCTAAGATTTGTTGCACTATAACATAAAATACTGACTGTGAAAAAAAGAGTAGAATAAACATCAGCATAGATAAGATGACAAATCTGTCTGGTACAGATAACTGAAGATGTGCCATTAGCTGATTTTTGAAAGGTGTACACTTGCCTGGCAAGATCCAGTTCATTGTCAAATGCCCTAAATCATCAGTACCTTGTCATTGTAGGGAAATGAGTTGGTGTCTGTCTCTCTGTCACTAGATTTTGACCATAACACCGTCACGTTCCCTCTGTCTACTCCTCACGTTGCTTTTTTCCCTTTTTGTCTCTTTCTCATCTCCATCAATCTCCCTCCATTGTTTGATGGGCAGCAACAGACAAAGGCTGCTGAGAACAATAGCAACAATAAGCATGAAAAGAAAGAGGAGAAACAAAAAGAGGAGAATAACACTGCTAGCAAAGTAAATGAGGTGAGTTTTGTCTTGTCCTTAAAAAACCTGTTCATCTGTGTGCAAAACTTGATAACTTTCACACTTTTAGAGAGGTTAACTGAAGGAGAGGTTGAGTGAAAAGTTTGATAGTCGACTCTGGCATTGCCCAGCTGTTGCCAGTACACAGGTGAAGGCAAACCACAGTTATCATAAAAAGGAAAACATGTTGAGAACTCATATGAAACTAGTTTTACGAAAAAGGGAACTACAAACAAAACAGCTGATATTCTGGGCGTTACTCACTTTCTAAAAGTGAATGGGCTTTGAGGGAAGTTGGAGCTAATGGAATGTCATGATGCATGCACGTTGGGGGGCCGTGTGTGTGTTTTCCAACTGGGAGAGGCTCCTCTCACAAGACTGTGTAGCCAGTCACATGGTGTACCAACATGTGCCGCCTCTTTACTTTCCAGTCTTCTAAACATTTCTGACACCTTTGCAGGGTTTCGTTTTGTTAACAAAGTAAGGAAAGGTAGACATCTCTGCTTCCTGAAGGGGTTAAGATACAACATTTCTATTTGTGATACCTGCAATTTGAATTGAATTTCTCTGTGTACAATTGCAGGTGTGAGACCAGCAAGTTTATAAATGCCATTGTTAGTCTATATGAGTATGTGCCCTAAGTAATAATCCTGGATAACTATATCCTCTATAAGAAGCTTTCTGTAGAAAACAAAGAGCTCAGAAATAGCTTTGGGAATGTGTTTTTCTTTAGTTAACAGAAGACAAAGCTTGAAGTTGACTTCATGAAAAAATTGAAATTGAGAAGAACCTAAGCTGGGGATGACTGAGAAAGAGTCTCAGTATTTTAATACATCCCCAAAGGCTTGAAATTTATACATCTGGGGATCTTTGGGAATTGTACTATTTGATTTGATCCACATTTTGAACTTCTCCAAACATTATATTCACTAGTGTAATTTGTATTCGAAGGAATGTGTTGTGTCGTGGCATATTATTACACAAGACCAAGAACGCTGACATGTGTTTCAAATCACTTTGTATTTTAAATACAAGATCAGCCTACTCTCACATACTTTCTGTGCTTAATAATCAGCCATACAATAATGTGAATGATAATAATCAAATAAATGTGAAAGCAGCACCCTTCAAAGTTGAAAATTGTGACTAAAGTAAAGATCCTTCGTGTTCTAAGAGATTGTTTATTCCAGAATGCATCGAAGTGCTTAACTCTAACTAAGGAAATTAATGCATTCAGCTTCTCTGGGTGTTGGCAGTACTGAGTTCAGTCTTTTTTGCCCATCCTCCTCATGTATGTAGTGAAGATAACCCATGTATTTATATACAATTAAAATATATGAATCACGTTTTCTATTTCCTCAAGACTGCTTAAGTTTGCGCTAAAAGAGTTACCAATACCTTGTCAATCAAGTGAGTACAAGTGACTAAGGATGCAGGATTATATCAAACACGGTATTATTGAGTGCAAGAACTTTGTTAAAATTGTTGATGCCACGTCTTGTAAAGTGTATTATTTCAATTTGTTGTGTATTTGTTTTAATGGTTTGAAATTCTAAATAAGTCTAAATTTCTTTCCAGAAGATCGAGGCTAAGGCAGACGCAGAGCCTGAGAAGAACCAAGGCCGCTACAATCTACGCCGCAGGAAGGATGATGGAGAGGGCAAACCAGAAGTGCAGCAGGAGAAGGAAGTTAAAGTGGCTGCACCTGCTCCTGCTGCCACCCCCTCCACCCCGCTCGACTTTGGAGGGAAGATAGGTATGTTGCAAGATGTCAGTATGTAGATAGTAACCGGTGAAGGATGCCTTCAGAGTTTATTTATGTCATTTCATTTTCCTTTTTTAGCTGTGTTTTTATGTTATTAATGCCTCTCTTACGTCATGTAAACATAAGTAAAAAATTGTACTAATTATTACGGAGCTGTTTTATAAGTTTGCAGAGGTTTCTACTTTTCTGGTCACTCAGTTTACTGTGTGGATTCTCAGCCTATCAGGGTCCTGGCAGTGCACAATGAAGCTAGAATTTAATCTATTTTACCTGTGGTGTTACCAGAAAAATAAGCATTTTGTGCCAGTCTGTGTTTTCATAAATTATGCACAGCTCCTGCTCTTTCTATAAGAATGGAACACTGACGGTCTAGATGCGTGACACAATCCAGAAAATAAAACAAAAATCTGCTTTCCCTCTGCTCGTCCCTCAGCCTCACAGTCATGTGTTGTACATAAGTCATTCCATCTCTCATGGCTCAGCTGTGTGACTTCCTTGAGTGCTGGGAAGCATAACAATTGGCAGTGTGAAACCAGTTGGTTAATTCATGTGCATTTGTCCATATGACAGTTGTGTCTAGCTTGATGTGCTGAAACTGACAACACTGGTATGCCTGGTATGTCTTTTTCTACCTCCAGGAGCGTACTTCTGGCTGCTCTTCCTGCCAGCCTGGGTTCTTTTCGTGGTACTTCAAGGTGACCTGGAGGACCCCAGCCTCACCAACTTCCCCCCTCCTCTGCCTCCACTCGAAGCCTTCTGGGATCCCCAGGCTCTTGGCTTCGTCGTCCTCTGGATCTTATTCCAAGTCCTGCTCTACATCTTGCCTGTTGGAAAGGTGAGTGAGAAGAGCTGAAACCTGTAGACACAAAGATAAATGTTCGAGTTATTGACAGCAGAAGTCCTTGTAGGTATACACAAAAGCAGTCTGACTTCCCTGCTTGTTCTATAATAGTGTGTAATGTAATTAGAAGAGTGTTCTACTGAACCCAGTGCAAACAGTCTGATAAAGTGGTAGCTGTTTCTCTGTATGCGCTGGTTTAAGAAAGATCCATGTGAACCAGCGCATGACTTTTCCGGTTTGTTTACTCCGGCAGGAGGCAGGAATTGGATTAATGGTCAGGAGTAACATTTTATGAGCTGCTTGACAGGAAAGAGGAAGTTCTCATTCGTTCCCTCCTGGGCCATTTCTGCCCCCTGATATCATAAACTCACTGAGATTACTCTGTGCCCACCTCGGTGATAAATCACATACATATATCTCTTGTAAACGGTATTTCATTCCAAGTTGCCCTTTCATCTTCTAAAAATGCCTTCAGTGTCGTGTCCCCCTTCCAAAGTCACTGCAGTGCACATGGTCTGCTGATAATCCCACTGTTTTTCTGTTTCTCTTTCTAGCTGAGTGAGGGAATGCCACTGAGGTCTGGGGAGAGGCTCAAGTACAGAACTAATGGTGAGACTTTGTGAAGCAAGTGCTTTGACTCCAACTCCCACTGGGAAGATACGATGCCTATTCCACTACAATCCGTTCGTCTTAGTCACTCAGTGTAACTGTGGCCTCATTTGAATTTATTTATTTATTTTGTTCATTCAGTTTGTCACATTTAGTGAACTTGGACACACTGATGCTATGTTTTTAATACCATTCAACAGTTTTGAAGTGATGACTCACTACAGGCTTAAGACTAACATTCATTTCATAAATCAAACTTATATATGTTTATATATAATTTGGTAGTGTTGATTTAATTTCTGGTTGCTTGCATGTTGTCTTCCCCATCTTTCTTTCTAATGTTTCTTCATATGTTTGTGTCTCCTCGTCGCTCCAGGTTTCTTTGCCATTACAGTGAGTGCTGTAGCAGTGGTTGCAGCAGTGCACCAGGGTGTTGACCTCACCTACATCCACAGCCGCTTCTTGCAGCTGGCCACGGCCACCTTCCTCATCTCCGTCCTGCTTAGCATCTACCTGTACATCCGCTCTCGCTACGCTGCCCCGGAGCAGCGGGCACTGGGGGGAAACTCTGGTAAGGGAAAAGATCAGGAGTTACTCACCGATCAGATACTTTCTGTTGTGCCTCTTCTGGTAATATGTTGAGTTTGACTGTTGTCTGTTGTAAATTTGCACCGTTTTTTGAGTTCTTTCTTCTTTGTGTAATTCTTCAGGCAATGTGGTCTATGACTTTTTCAAAGGACGTGAGCTCAATCCCCGCATTAAGAGCTTTGACCTGAAATTCTTCTGTGAGATGCGTCCTGGACTGATTGGCTGGGTGAGTTGTCATTTGTAAACTAAAGCAAACGTTTGTTTCAAAGATGCATTTAGTGAGGCTCAGTGTCAGAATTTGTTTCTTATTATTGTTATTGTTGTTATTGCTGTAAGCAGCCTGTTTTATGCTGTCATAGCCAGATACCATGACACGCTTGGTGTGTCTTGATTTAAAATGTTACTGTTTAACTCTGCTTCCTGTAGAGTTCTGCTTGATCGGTTTCAAGAGGGCCTGTCATTTTCTACATAAATTGCACTCTCTAGTGGCCATATGTGGAACTGATTCTTAACCTCAGTCATGTAGTACAAACTTAATGAATGCCTTGTGTTTGTTTGTGCAAAAGCATTGTGACTGCTTATGCAGATTGCTAATGTAAAAAAAATTAACAGGCTTCAGTCTTTAAACTGGCAGTTTTATAAGCTGGTTTGGTGCAAAGCTATGAATAGCAATTGGCAGTAAGCTCTGCAAATGGCGACATGACATTCTGGACAATTAGGAGACAATCATAATAATGTTGGATTTTATGTCTTTCACTGTCAGTGCTTGATCAACTTTGCCATGGCGCTGGCGGAGATGAAGCAGCAGGAGCTGGATGCTCCATCATACTCCATGATCCTCGTGAACCTGTTTCAGCTTCTCTATGTGGTGGACGGCCTGTGGAATGAGGTACACTAGTGGGCTATAACCTGCTTATTTTCTCAAAGAGCTTACTCAAGGAATATTTGCTAAAACACATTACCCGACTATTAAACAACTTCTAAACCTTTCTTTGTCTCTTTTGTTCAGACTGAATGAGTAATGACTGAATGTGTCTCGTTCTCTCTCACAGGAGGCCATCCTGACCACCATGGACTTGATGCATGATGGTTTTGGATTCATGTTGGCTTTTGGTGATCTGGTGTGGGTTCCTTTTACGTACACCCTGCAGGCTTATTACCTGGTCAGCCACCCCAACCCCCTGAGCCTCCCAGCAGTCGCAGCCATCCTCCTACTCAAACGTGAGTAGAGGCACAACATCTCGATTTGAATTTATTGCTGTATTGTAACTGATTTTGTGAGGAGTTCTTACTACTTGATGGCTTTATGCTTAGCTACTAGGATAAAGAGACTGTTTCTCTGATAAAGATAACATTTGAGCAGTTTTTTTTATTTTAATAGTGTAAGTGTATGAGTTGGTGTTAAAGTTCCCTCTTGGCCTCTCTGTGTTTCAGTCGTTGGCTTCTACATCTTCAGGAAATCCAACTCTGAGAAGAACGCCTTCAGGAGAAACCCATCAGACCCCAAACTTTCCCGTAAGTTCCCCAACAGTCTTAGAGATATTATGTAATGAATTTTGTATTTTATTTTGCCCTGATGATTTCTTTACTTCCCTCTGGGGGAAAATTACGGTAAAGCTACTCGAGCTACTGGTGTTTGAGCTCTCTACTTGTCTTCAAAGTTACTGTCTCTGTGAACTATAGTCTGTTGAAATGTAAGTTAATTTATTCCTAAATCTTGGAGAACAATATTGAGCTCCACATCTAGACTTTACATCCCCATACTGTTTTGAAATGGTGTTCAAAAACCCTTAAACAGTCATTTTCATTTTCAGCTTTGTAAAACTAAAAACGTTCACAAAAGCAAATGGCTTCACAAATCTAAAATTAGTGTTTAGACAGTCTTTGTTTTTAACGTAAACTCAGTCTTATTGGTGTCTGAATGGAGAAAATGTTTTCATGAATAAAACAAACAATTGAATAACTCAGTATATTGTTAGAATTGTCTAATAAGCTATTTAAAAATATGCACTTCCTTCATTTGTAGAGATGAGAGTATTAGTGTTGCAGTAATTGAATGCTCCTTTTGGTTTAAAAGAAAAGGGGATGTCGTTTAGGCCTGTAGTCTTCAGTTCATGTCCTCTAACTGCAGAGCCACAGATCATTGTGTACGAACTGTGCAAATGTTTTTGTCACTAAAAGTAAAGTGAGGATGCTTTCAAGATTAATGCCATGAAATGCATGATGTCACATTAAGGTATCACTTCCTGGTGAGTGTCATACTGACATTGGCAGAACTTGACTTTACATAATTGTACACAAAGAAATTAGACAAATACATGTTCTGCATTTATTGCCAAAGTATGGTTAAAAGATCTGACTTTGTCCTTTAAAAAAATGAAAATAAATCGTTCTCACTGTTTACATCAGTCATTGTGTTTCTGTCATCTCCAGATTTGAAAACGATCCCCACAGCGACAGGGAAAAGTCTGCTGGTCTCTGGCTGGTGGGGCGTGGTCCGCCACCCCAACTACCTGGGAGACCTCATCATGGCTCTGGCCTGGTCACTGCCCTGTGGTGAGTCTGCTTGACATTTGTACCACAATTAATCATGCACTAAGGGAGCTAATCACATAAACCAAGAAGCGGTGTCAGTCTCATAATAAAGAGCTGTGAACAGATTGAAAATAATGCTTTTCTTCTGTCCTCCCTCCCGTTTATCCATTCCTCAGGCTTCAGCCACCTCCTGCCGTGGTACTACATGATCTACTTCGTGATCCTTCTCGTGCACCGAGACTCACGTGACATGAGCGATTGCAGGAGGAAGTACGGCTCGGCGTGGGACGAGTACTGCCGAACTGTTCGGTACCGGATCATTCCCCGCGTCTACTGAGGGACCCAACGCTGGACACTCCGGAGCTGAGGCCTTTTTTTTGACCTGATATTACATCCATGTGAAGGCTCACAGAAAATATGAATGGATTGACTGACTGATTAGACTTTCTTTCTCAAAGCAAGAATTTAAAAAAAAAAAAAACAAAAGACTGTTTTGATTCTGAACTGAAGGAGCTTCAATACGTTGAATTTTATGATGAATGAAAAAGACTCACTGATATTGTGAACTGTTTGGGGAACTGCCTTTTTTAATAGAAAATATTTTAAAAGTTTACAAAATGGGAGAAAAAAATAAACAAAAAAAACGCCTCTGCTAGGAATGTCTTGTTAGGATGTATATTTTTGTATATACCCATTTGTTTTTATACTTCCAGAGTAACACACCACATGCATACCTTTTTGGTACATTTTGCCCTTTGCAACCATATTCAAAATCTTACAATACAAGCTTGGCTATTACGAATAATTTTGTAAGTACGCCTTCCTATTATAATTATACTGCTCGTGTATATTGTGAAGGATGGGATTTAAAAAAGCTCCCCTTTTTTGATAAGCTGTACAGTGAAGCTAAGACTCATGTTACTTCTCAGGACCCGGGACTTTGCCAGAAAGTTGAATTAGGAAAGTTTTGTCTTAATAATTTTGTTGTGTATAATTTTATATAGATATTTAGTTTTGACTTGAGAGTGTAAAATGATTTTAGAGGTTTCATGAAAAATGCACTAATGCGTTATGGCATTTTTATTTTATTTTTTTTTCTTCTTACATTATCAATTCCAAAGTGTATTTGATTTGGCTTTGCTACCTCAGGTTCACTCACTGTCCAGTTCTCCCTCCTCGGTGCCCTCTGGGAGGCAGTGTGTGTAATTATGAGTGTGATGTCACTGCTAAATGAGTTCAACTTGTTCTTCATTTCTACAATAATGTCGCTATCCATTATAATTAAGTGGTAGCCATCCACATCACAGATGAGTCATGCTTTTAGGATAGAAATCCCAACTGCTTTCACATTTTCCTCAGTTATTCCCTGCATTGTTGTGGAAACTATTTGTATTTTGTCCTGGCAATTTCTGAATCATACTTTCTATTGTGAACTGGTTGTCAATTTCTCAACAGTGCCACGTGAATTTGGTTTTTACCTTTTTTTAAGCTTTAACTTGCCAGGTCATGAGACAATGACTATTTTAATGAAGTTTATACTGTGACAACATGCAGAGCTGTCGACTGCTTTAGCAATTGTAACCTGTGCAAACCCAAAAAAAGTATTTTTATGCTTGTGCAGCTATAGATGATCACGCCAGTAGCAATACATTATTTAGACTAGGTAGCATTTTTTTATGCTGTGCTGACTGAATACCCTGTAAATATTGTTTTTTTTGTTTTTTGATCACGTTAATTTGAGTAAAATGAGTAGTGATAATAGTCATGTTTCTCAGTAGATATTTAATGTTGCCGTTTATTTGGGTTTTATTTTTTAAGTTAACTACCTAATTTTGACCACTGTAGTTATGTTTACACACCTAGATCAGCCATGGTTCTGGACAATACTTCAAATTGTATTACAACAAATTTAGATTGGTCTGCTATACTCTTTACCTGATCACAGAGTAAAAGAAAATGTTTGATACTTGAGATGCTACAATCCTGTTTGCTCCAGGACACATTGCAGTGATGCATATATTTGTTTATTAATATTATGATGGTAAGCGTCACTATTTGGTTTGACAGCCTATTAGTGGAAAGCAATAAGTGAGATGTACAATGTAATATGACAATAATGAATGAAGACGTTAACAGGTCCAGCAGGCTGTTGGTGAGGATGGATCAAATCTGTGACAGCGGCTGGAGAAACTTCTGTACAAATGTTGCAGCATGAAATAAAGATTTACAGTATTTCCTTTCCTTTCTGTGTACTGTTGTAGGCTTATTGACAGGCTGTGTGGTGAGCAACTGTGCTTCTCCAGAATTGGGGAAATTTCTTCTTTGAACATAGACTGACATTACTGACAGCACTTGAGAACTGCAGCCATTTTTGGAGATGTCCAGCCAGGTGGGACAAAATGTGTGAGCTTTTGGAGTGATGTGTGATTCATAAGTGACAAGTTGAAGTTGAAAAGTGAAGTGAGAAAATGAAAAGTGTGTCCAGCCGTGAGCAGGATTTGAACTCACAGCTTCAACCTTGGGGCTTTTGTCCAACGTCAGAGGGATGCCAGCTCAACACTGAGCTATTGCAGCACCCTGGCAAAACATGAAAAAAAAAAACATGTATTTTTTTTACCTTTTCAAGTCCAACACTACCTGAAAGCTGTGCTTGTAGCACTTGCACTTTACTGCAGCTTAAGAACCATTGCACTAAAGTCACTTCATCAACTTTACAAATTACTCTGGGCACGTTACAACAATAAATGCTGAAAATAACGTGACTCCACGACACCATCCAAGCCGCGGCAATACAGACGGAGGACATGACATGCTTCTGGACGGGCGGCCGGACAGCCACACAGCCAGCTCGTTCTCAGCTTTTCCAGGAGCTATTGCAGGAGCAGGATGCTGAACGTTGCCAGGGGCTCCTCACACCCTTCACCATAAAGTGTTTACCATAAACTGTTTCATATGCAAACACTTGCTTGTTTATTTAATTGCTTGTAGTTTCTGGATCCTGAACAAACGCTGTCTTATCTTGTTTGTGCTACTGTTGTAGGTACAGCAAAATGACAGTAAAGTTGATTTGAAGCAGCAGCAGCAGCAAGTGACAGAGCTTATTGTCCGAGGTGGTGGAGCGGACCGTCGGTGTGCGCTGATGAGGGCTGCGCTCCGTCCAGGGTGAGGACAGAGTGAGGAGAGACACTGGCTGGATGTCCAGGTCGGACAACAAGTGTGAGCTTTTGGAGGCTGGTGTGTTGTGTGTTTGGAGGCAGGTCATGCTTTTTTCCTCTTTAAAACATTGTTTGCACTGCTTTTGTGAAAGCTAACATTGTCAGAAATGGGATTAGAAGCTACACCTCCAGGGGAGACAGTGACCTGAACACATCGCCTTAGACTGCTCAGCTATCCTGGCCATAAAACCTATCGACAACTGACCAAATATACTGAAATCTCATATGTTTGTGGATCGATGGTTTGGTTATCTTTGATCAGTATCATGGGGTTTTAGGTTATGATAGCATCATAGAATCATGACCTATGGCAATATTGAAGTATGACCTATGTCGACATTGTAGAATACTGACCTAAGACATCATTGTAGAATCTTGACCTATGACAACATTGTAGAAACGTGAGGTAGGACAACATTCTAGAATCTTGACTTATGACATTATTATAGAATCTTGACCTTCGACATCATTGCAGAATATCGGTCATTTCAGGTCGTCCGTGCCCATGCCTTATGTGTTAAAGTGCAGTTTCTGTAGTGTAGTGGTCATTAGGTTCGCCCAACACGCAAAAGGTCCCCGGTTTGAAGCCGGGCGGAAACACACTGACTTCTCTGCGTTTTCTCCAAATAACAGCATCAAAGTATTGTGTGGACTAAGCTGTTTGTTTGTTGTGGCTTACTTCGGGGACAATGGTGTTGAGCGCAGAGCTGAAGTCCACAAATGGCACCCCTGCACATGTCCCGGCTGAGTCC